CATCAACCTCGACTTGGTAACGGAGGAAAGAGAAATGGCTATGGTTAGGAATGTAGAATACAAGCACCATATGATCAAATACTACAACTTGAAGGTGAAGCCTCGTTTCTTCTTGCTTTGGGACCTAGTTTTCAATAAAGTGGTCATATCTACCAAGGACTCACGAGAAGAGAAGCTAGGCCCGAATTGGGAAAGACCTACGTCATGACAGAAGTTGCAAGACCAGGCACCTATGGAATTCAAAACTCTGAAGGTAATATCTTGGTCTATCCATGGAATGCCGAATACCTGAAGAGGTATTATCAATAGCAAGGAAAAACCAATGACCCTCATTACTTTGTCGTGGCATTAGTTAGTTCAGCCAACTTATTTACTTTGTTATCTATTACTTTAGTTATGAAATAAAATTTTGCAAAGATTATTTTGTCTAGAACTATCCTTTTTTTCATTCCATAGAAATTTTTAAACTACTTGCAAAAGTCAAATCTTGATTTGACACAAAAAGAAATACAAGTAAGATAAAAATCGTCATACACTCGACAATCGCTCACTGCTTCCTAATCCACTCTCACTAAAACTCCCTCCATCACCACCTGTCCCTAGTGCCTTATATGGGACAAAGCCAGATAAGTCAATATCAGGAAAAGTCGTTGAGGCCTTCTGCCTAAACTCCTCATAACTGTCAATAAAAGCGCCTGCAATGCCGCACTTCAGATCATGTATGGCCCTCTCTACAACCTCCCCCGTTCACTCCATCTCAATGGAATGAGCATCTGTCTTGGTGGCTCTCTCACGAGGTACTTGTGGATTTGCCTCGGCCACGTCAACCCTCTCCCGAGCTATCCGTATGTCTCACCCCCACCCTAGATCACATAAGGTGGGTGGCGAACCAGCCACCAAGGTCTTAACCAATCAACCCTGTAGATAATAAATGCAAAGTACAGCGGAAGACAAATAATAAAGTGATCTATTCCACCGACCTAATGAAAACCAGAGGAATAAACTAAACACCACCAATATCATTACTAAACTCATGTAAAACAATAATTAAACCATAAAGTTCACTACTCTAAACATAAATAATATTGTTCCCAAAACAATTAAACATTTGTCTCAAAACTATAAAAGACTTTTATTCCTAAAGACCTACAATAAATAAATCTTCGATTCCTCTAATCCCTTGTCTATCTGTAAACTTACTCTTCACCTTGATCCTCACCTGAAAAATGACAAATGTTTGGATGAGCACAATGGGCCATGAATAGCAACCATCTCTAATGAGGTGTAAAAATAAATCTCAAAGTTTATTTACAAAAATAACATTTGATACGCACATAAGTACAACAAATTGTACCCCAACCCCTCCCACATATTCATTTTAAAAAAATGATTTCATGATCACAAATAACTTTATAAATTAAAAGATATTTACAACTCAAAACACCACTCATTTTCACAAATAAGATTATAAATGAAAAGACATGTATAATCCAAAATACTCACACACACATTCAATTCCAAATACATTTGTCAAATCATGTTTGTCATCACTAGCATGATGACTAGCCCAGTCTCTTGTTACCACTAGCCTGGTAACTGGCCCAGTCGCTTGTCATCACTAACCTGATGACTGGTCCCGTCTCTTGTTACCACTAACCTAGTAACTAGCCCAGCTTCTTGCCATCACTAGTTTGATGACTGACCCAGTCTTTTGTTACCACTTAAACCTGGTAACCTCAGTCCCCGTCTCGTAAACATGATTTTCACATACACCAAAATTGTAGTTTTAGTCTCAACGCACACAAAATTTCTCTTTCATTACCGAAGCAACGATATAAAATCATCCCACAAGTTTTCCAAAATTTACATGTAGAACAGTTCACAATTTCAAAACATTTAATTGCAACCCCAAACATTAACACATATATCATATATATGAAAAATTCACATGCACGCACCCACATATTTAATATAGAAAATCCTCCCAAAAGAAGTAATAAACTGCTCACCTTCATTTCCAAAATTCAATTCAAAGCACTCTTTCCAAACTTCAATGCAATCACCACATAATCCAAAATAACATATAACAATCAATCTCTATTTCTAACTTCGTCGTTTCGCGAATCTACATTTAATTTTTATACTTCTTACTTATTGATATATACTTAATATATCTTTTACATATAAATATCCTTTTTAATACAAGGTGATAGGGTATGGAAGTATTCTGGGCTGTTTATAAAAAAGTTTCTAAAATTTTGGGGTCAACTCATAATTTTTAAAACTTTTGAGGTCAAAGTATAATTTTATTAAAGAAATAATTTTCTATTTTTGGGCTTGCCATAAATGTTTCAGAATAGTATTTTACATAAATTTTTCATAAATTTATGAATAAAACCCTAATTTGATTTATTAGAGTAATCTTTGATTTTAAACACTCAATCAAAACTTTTAAGGGTCGTTTCAAACTTTCATAAATTTTCTAAGACTCGAGGGCTGCTTTAAAATGACAATATTTGTTTCAAACATATTGGGTTAGTTTTATAAATTACCAAGTTCCATGGTGGTCAAATTTGAGTTTATAAAAGTATAAAGGTCAAAACAAATCTATTTAAAACTAAAAGGGAGATTTCCATAATTCCAAAATTTTCACCTTCTTCAACCTACGGAAGGTCTCTTGCAGTTTTAACAACTCAATCAGCTTTCTTTTCCGTTTTCAACCTATTAAACTCAACCAAATCTCAAATACCTATACACCAAATTCAACTTAATATCTTCAAAAATTATTCATGTAATGTATCTATATATATATGTGTGTGTGTGTGTGTGTGTGTGTATGAAATCTAACACCATTTGATATAATAAAATACAAAAATCATAAAATAAATAATGCATCCACATACCTTTAATGGATCCAACTCTCCATTTTTCTTTTTCTTTACTTCCTTCTCTCTCTCCCTCTCCCTCTCTCACGTTTTTTTTTTGTTTGCTGCCTCTTGTTTTGGTCTTCTAGAGTTTTATTTATCCAATAACACTATCCTATTTAAACCACATGTAGAATAGTCTTAATAGGTCTCTCTCTAAGGCAAGACTTTTATTACACATTAGTCTTCTTTAATTTTTTTTTTTTACAATTATATATATAGTTACTCCAAGGTAGCCAATACACCAATATATATATATATATATTTATACATTTATGGATTATTACACCATAGGTCCACCCCAACTCCCACAACACTCTTGCCAGTCTTTTGTAGCTCTGTCTCTACACTCGTGCAGGTAGTCTCTTTGTCAGCTCCAACTTGGGAGCCCTCTCGTAGGATGCCGAAAGCTCGGCTTCAAGAGGTGTTACTCTTTCATGAGTCAACCTCAACTACTTCTCTACAACTTAGCACGCCTGCCTCTTTTCCAATAGAGCCCTCAATACGTCACCAAGCTTCATTGTCCTCGAAAAAAGGCAAAGGAAAGCAGTAGCCATCTATGAATATCCAAAAGCAAAGCATAAAAAAAAAGTGCAAAAATCAAGGTTGAATAGAAAAGAGGGGTACCATAGCAAATCCCTCCATCGCGATATCAATAATACCCTCTGGGCCTTGAGAGTCGACCTCTCTAATATCTACAGCCGTCACAAAATTCCAATGCAGCTCCTTGGCCAGGTTCATGTCCTGTAGCATAGACACCGAGCCATTACTGGAAGTAGGATAACTACGAGGAACTCCAATCTCAACAAAAGCCCGCATGGGAATCTCAACCCCTAAAGCAATCCAAGGGCTAACCCTAACACTTGAAGGGGCATCGTGCTAAGAAAAATTGGGGGCACCACTAGATCTCACCTTTGGAGAAATAGTATGGCCATCAGACCTTGGCTGAGATGCGTTGGCGAAATCAAGCCTCGCCCTCTTAGGAGGAGGGGATGACGCCACCCTAGTAGTGTATAGAGCCTCCATTATTGCTCTATCAACAATAGTACCTGCGGGACTTGAAGAAGAGAAAGAATTTACAAGCATCATCAAATTTACCCAAAGAACCAAATACCTTTCCTCTTTTGTCTAGGGGAGGCTTTAGAGTGACTCAAACTAGACATAAGGGTTGCAAAGTGCTTGGAAGGATAATTCCTCACGGCCTGGAGTCTAATCTCCTACTCCATCGATAATGCAGGCAAAGCTACAAAGAAGTTGAACATGCAATAAACATAAAAGAGATATAACAGTCTGGCATAAAAACATGGGTAAAACTCATACCTAACTTGGTCCTTGGAGGAGTATCCCATTTCGAGGGCACTAAGTCATGATCCTCCTGGGTAGCCCACTCTCATCCTATAAAGAAAAACTTAGACTAACAACTGTTATAGTCTAAGGACAGTCTAGTGATCAACTTCCACGACCTCGGAGCAAAGTGATACCGTCCCTAATAGGGAACGGGGTTCTCCAAAAGTAAATATGACGTTAGGAACTCCTCAAAATGGGAGAGATATGCTCACCATAAACCATTCGCCACAATGAAAAGAACACCAAAAGCACTCTCCATCCATTCGGAGTCAACCTCCCTAGGGCAAGCGACAAGTGACCCAAAACTTGGCAAAAGGGTCTAGGTATGGGAAACCTCAATCCTGCCTCCAGGAAGTCCTCATAGAAAATGATCTCCCCAAAGGAATCATAACACGCTGACTCATCCTTCTAGGTCGGACGACACAGAACAACAAGATAGATATGGAATGAAGATACGGTGCTAGCAATATCATTGTCACAATCTATGGAACTGAAAATCAAGGTTACCTTCAAACCATCAATGTCAGCAACTCCCTTGCCTCACTACAAAGCTTGTATACCCATCATCATATTCTTATCAAATTGGGCACTTGTCAAAATCAAAGACAATGTGAAAAAGGAAAGGATACCAAGATGATAGAACAATTAAAGGGCGAGAAAAATCACCACCTAGTTGAAAGACGTCACACTCTCCCTCTCTAGCAAAGTCCAAGACTCTGCGTTCGCTACCTAACATGCTGACGCCAACCTGCTGCCCTCTACTGATGCAAACCAGCTACCCACTGATGCCAGCGCCATCACCCAACTCCCCGTATTGCATGTGCTAGCGGCGTCACCTGCTCCAGTGGTGTCACCAGCGCCCTTTTTGGCATCGCCAGTGCCTGGAAGCTCATTAGCGTGGTCGTCGCCCACGTCATAGTTGTCGCCCAGCACTCCAATGTCGTCCTTGCCTACCTTCGACGTTGCTGGCACCATCCTGCCTGCCTCCAGCATCGCCTAGCCCAATGTCCATCACGTCCCTACTACTGATGTCGCCCTTTTCACTAGCCATGGCGTCACCCATGGTTTCGCCTAGCATCTCTCATGGTTTCACCAAGGCACTTAAGGCCTTATACACGGATTTGCCCATGGGTTCTCCTTTGTGTCATCTCCCTCTAAAATCCATGTTTCCTCTTCTTCGTTGTCCTCTCTGAACAAAGGAAATAAAGGGCACCTCCGAGCTCTAGTCAAGAAGGAGGATTTTGAGAAAAAGGGTGGAATATGGATGGCTCACTCATGGGTCTATGTATATAACCCTCTAAAAACCCTAAGTTTGAGGCCCTGAAAGAAAAAGGGGGGGGTTTCTACTATAGAGGGATGTATTTTTTTTTTTCAAATCCAATGGAAGACCAAGCAGATAAGGTTTTTTGCTAGCAAAACGGATGTCTAACAATGGTGCTACCAAATAAGGAAAGAAGCTTCGAAAATGTAATGGAGTGAAAAGCTAAGGAAGCCATAATGTGGAATAAGATACATTGGTCTACCCAAATGAATGAGCTCACTCATGCCCTCAACCCCCATATCACTACTAGGGCTTGGGGCATGGGGGGAAAATGATGAATCCAAATCTAACTGGACCTAGGCCTAGTTCATGGGTTGAGCCCAAATTATTAAAAGGGAAGTTAGTCATAGCTTACAACTTGTAGTCTAGTCCAAAGCTCAAAATTCCAAGAAGATTCAAAGATCATCAGGATAGTCATTACTCCGAGATAGTGCTTATCCCCAATTGTAGTTATCCTCCCCGATAGATTAGTAGCTTGGCCTTCACGGCACCGCCATAGTTAGAGCTCTATGACTATAAATTTTAAACATCATACACAGGGAATGATTAGTACTTAGATGTAGAATCTTATTATGCCTTTTTGGGACTAATTATACTTTGATGGAGTTTAAATGATGACATTTCAGGTTCTAAATTGGGAAAAGGGTTCAAAACAATAAAAATCACACTTGAATGTAACACCAGCACATTAGGGAACAAATTGGAGAAGCTTGGAACAAAGCAAGAACGTTCGAACGTCAACCCATGTTCGAACGTCCATTGGAACAAAGACAAGACCAGACTGTGAAGACATGGCGTGTTGCAGCAAAGAAGGAAGTGCACTTGAGTACCATGTTTGAACACCAATCACGTTCAAATGTCCACTGAAGACCTGGGTAATGAGTGCAAAATGCTAGGTCCTGCATGAAGTATGGAAGTGGGTTTCCTCAAAGGATCACAGACCACTTGAATGATATGGTCAAACCCCATCTGGCATTCGAACGCCCATAAAGCAAAAACAGAAGACACGTTCGACCGACATATATCGTTCGAACGTCCATACTGCAAAAACATAGACAATGTTCGAACATCAACTCACGTTCAAACGTTCTCCATAGACTGCCTGCAGAGTAGTTGGTCTTTCACTTGGACTTGAGTAGCATCCATTATTCATTCATCCTCTCCTATCTTCCCCCCCTCCCCTTCCTTGCCTATAAATACCCACATTAAGGGATCTTGAAGGTGTGCAATTTTTCTCTTATAAAATAGGAAGCTAGAGCTCAGTTTGTAGGCTTAGACTACACCAAGAACTAGTAAGGAGCTCAGATGGAGGTTTAGACTCCCACTCATTTAGCTAGATTCATGTTTATATTTGCTTGTATCAAAAGAGTTTTAGTTCCTATCTTTACTTATATCCTTTACATATATGTCATAACAACCATGATGGGGCTTAGACTCCCCTTGTAGTAGTACTTGCTAGTCTTTTATTTACTTGCATACTTGTTTTTATCTACTTGTTGTAGCAACCATGATAGAGGCTTAGACTCCCTTTGTAGTTATACTTGTTTTTATTTACATCTATCAAAAGAGGTAGCTCATCTTTTGGTTGTAGTGGAGACCCTTCAAAAGTAACTAGCTTTCTTCTACTTTCATTTGTTAGCTTCTTTCACTTCCATTGCTTGAGCATCTTCTCTCTTAGAGGAGTGAAACTCTTCCACTTTTCTAGAGCTTTACCAAGTCGTGAATGGTGGAACGTGATTCACTCATTCTTCATTGAAAACTGGCTCTGTGGATAGTGTAGTTTCCCTTGTAACTCTTCTAATTGAAGGGATGAGCATCACTCACTTTTCTAGTTTTACCAAAGCCATGAAGAGTGAGTAGTTTCTCATTCACTCTTTAGTAAGAGGTGATAAATATGTATTGATTATCCAGAAGTAATACTTGTGCATTTCCTTTATGCTTTAATGCTTTATCTACTTGTTCATTGAATGATTGAATGCATCTAGTAAAGCTAAGGTACTTTGTATAACCATGGATTATTTCTATGACACAGATGACTCTTGCATAGAAATACCCGTTGGTTCAAGGCAAGTACCCTGGCTAGATCTTCATGAAAACCTTTCAATCTTCACCATTATTGTGCTTCATTAAAGAATGGAATATTAATACCATGGTTGGATGTCATGTAGAAACACTTGCTTCTTTGTAGATGGATTGAGTCTCGACACAGGCAATTTTTGTAAACTTCTAGAAGGGCATCGGAACCATGTGCTTAATTCACACTGTCCATTTTTATCTTATGATTAACTTACTATTGACACGGGAGTTAATTGAGTTATAAAGCACAAGTATATTAAACCGGATGATTAATTACATGTTCTGATCCTCGAACTAAAGGGTGGTTGCTAATTTTGATAATTTATCTTATATTTTGTCTAGAAAAACCTCTTAGAAAGAATCTTATATTCTATCCAGGAAATCTCACAACTTCAAAACTCTAAAGAAACTCCAGTCACTTGATCTCTGTCACTGTTTACTTCAAAACACTAATCATAGCTCCCTATGGATTCGACTTCGGACTTAACCGGATTATTACTACAGCTTGACCACCTGCACTTGGGTGTACACACTTCGGATCAAGTCAGGGAACACACACTACACCTTGAGTGTACTCTTGTTTTTTCTCTCTCTTCCCTGCTACCTTGTACTCTCTCATTAATAGAGTTCTCCGTCCACTATTCTCACCTTTAGTGGTTAGATCACTCAGACTCAACCACCCAATCTTTATCTCTTATATTAATTGCTTTATTAATTATTTTGCACCATACATTCAGCTGATTTGATTATGCATAATCAACTTTTGCATCATCACTCATCACGTTATGAATCCCCTTCCAAGACAATTTCATCACAACCTTATTGCACAGCAAAGTGAACAGCCTCCCTAGCAGCCAAAATTTCTACCGTTTGTGCCACATAGGAGGAAAGGACTTTCCTCGAAAAGCCAACAATGAAGGTGCCTCACTCATCTTTTATTACCACTCCTACACCAATTGCTCCTTCTTCCTTGAACATGGCCCCATCGAAATTGACCTTTAAGGAGCCTATACTTGGGGGGCACAGAGAAATTAAATCCGTTACTGATGGTGTCAAGACACTGGAGTCCAATGCTTATTTGTACAGTGCAATATAATCAGCTAACATATAATTCATTACCGTAGGGTCCTTCTTCAGATTCTGAAAGAGCACTCCATTTCTATTCATCCAATTTAATCAATAATGGACCAAGAAGAGGGAGAATTGTTGTAGATTCATCTATTGTGACATTTTCCACAACCAACTATGGATTTGGCTTATTGGACACTGCACCAGATGGGTTAGTGGAGTGGATTCCCATTACTCACTGGCCCAAGCACATTCTTTCACATTATGCAACATAAATTCAGATTCCTTTCCACAAACACAACATATGTCATCCATTCGGATCCTCCTTCGCATAAGATTTTCATTAGTAGGGAGAGTATTAGTCACCATTCTCCAAGAAAAAAATTTAATTTTATTTGGTAACTACTAATTCCAAATGAATTTCTTATTGTTATGTTCGGAACTTGATTATGAAGCAACTCATAATTCATTAAGCTAGCCAGATTTTGGTCAAATGCGATATGATGCGCACTTTGGACAGAAAATTTTCCCTTCAAATAGCGATGCCAAATGAGCTTGTCTTCCATGAATGAGAAACCCAAGGGTATTTGCCTGATCATCTCTGCTTCGCGACTTAGAAAAACTTTATTGATCAAAATTTCCTTACATTGATGAGTTGTCGAGCCAATAAGATCACTAACTATGGCCTCATCATGAAAAGTATTCTTAGGAGTAACTATCATAAAGATTGTTAGAGTAGAAATCCACCTATCTTGCCAAACCTTGATTTTGGAATCATCGCCAATCCTTCATCTACATCCAACTTCTAAAACTCTGCTTGCTTTAAATATGTTTCCCCAAAAATTTGAGGGCCTATATATCCTAGCTTAGCGGTCATAAACAAACCATTCAAAAAATATCTAGCTTTCAACACTTTCTGCAGAAGGGAATTGGTTTCATGGTGAATTCACCAAACTTGTTTAGCTTTGCTTTGCTTTTACACATTTCTGCCAACTTTACCCAGTAAATTTTCCTCTCCCCATCTTTTTGTCCTCACCAAAAATTAGACGTTAAGGATTCCAGCTCATTGCAAAGATAATCAAAAGTTTGAAACACCCCATCACATAGGTCAAAATAGATTGGGCTACTGCTTTAATAAGGACTTCCTTTCCTGCCTTAGATAATAATTGCTCCTTCCACCCTTGCAATTAATTCCATACTTGTTCTCTTATATTTGCAAAAAAATCCTTCTTGGACTTGCCAACAACTGATGGCAATCCAAGATATTTCTCATGTTGTTGGACTCTTAGAACCCCTAGTATAGACCTTACTTCTTTGGCCCTAACATCTAGGACATTTCTGTTGCATACCATGGCTGACTTGTCATTGTTAACTTGTTGCCTTGTAGCTACTTCATATAATTATTACAAATCTTTGATTGGTAGTGCTTTCAATATCAAGGCCTTAAAAAATATCAAGTTGTCATCCACAAAGAAGAGGTGAGATATTCTAGTGCAGCATCTTCGAATCATACAAACTCTTTTTTATACTCAAATCTTTTTAAAAAGTTTCCATGTTGTCCCAATATCTCTTTTTTTTTCATTTTTCCCTCTAAAACT